GGAATGATGAGGGCAACAAATGTATAGATGTGCTTTACACAATTGATCTATGTATTGTGATGAATTGTATGAGCCCCAATAAATTGATTTAAAAAAAATCGCAAGTATTGGATAACCTCTTTTTTTATGAAAAGACAAAAAATATGTATGCATACAAGAAGCAATGTTCTTTGATGGTTAACAGCAAGGAAATAGGAAGAAATATTTCTAGAGAATATCTCATGCTTACAGATGAGGAAGGCAATTTTTAATGTAGGAGAAATCTGCACAACTTGAACAAGAACAAGGATTACGCTTACAGGTACACAAAAGAGAAGTGACACTTTTCCTATGTTGTAGATGAAATCTTACAGCAATATCTTTAAGGACCAGAAAATCTACATGCATACATCTCAAATTCACTGCAATCAAGTCAATACTGACTAACAGGGATCTCCTGTGGGTTTCTGAGACTGTAACTCTTTACCGGAGTACGCGCTCATCAATATATTTTATCAGCATGCTGAGCAAGTGATCAGAGAAGTTGTATTATATGATGAATATTGTTGTATCTAGATTAGTTGTAGTTAGGTGCCACTGAGTCACATCTGACCTCTAGCGACCTTACACACAGCAGAATAAAGCACTGTCTGGCCATGCACCATGCTCACAATTGTTTCTATGCTTGAGTCTATTGCGGCCACTGTGTAAATCCATCTCCCTGAGGACCTTCCCCTTTTTCTCTGGCCCTCCACTTTACCAATCATGATGTTCTTCTCCAGGAACTCGTCTCTGCTGACAACATGTCCAAAATATGCAAGACAAAGTCTTGTCATCCTTGATGCCAAGGAGCACTTTGACCTTACTTCTTTCTAAAAAGATCAGTTTGTCTTTTTGCAGTCTATGGCACTTTCAATATCTTCTCCAGCACCACAATTCAAATGCATCAATTCTTCTTCAATCTTCTTTATTCAATGTTTAATTTTTACATGCCTGTAAGGCAATTGAAAATACCATGGCTTGGTCAAGGGTACCTTAATCTTCAAAGTAACATCCTTGCTTTTCAACATTTTTTTCAAATCATTCTATTGGCGCCTCATACAACTCTTATCAAAATCCATACATACATCAATTGTATAAAGCACATTTGTATATTCGTTACTCTCATAATTCTATAATCATCTGCTCTCCACTTAAGCCCGTGGCATGAGCTCCTCATTTTTCCCCTCCCTCCCTGCTCCCCCCTCTCTCATGAACCCTTGATAATTTATAAATTATTATTTTGTCATATCTTCCACTGTCTGAAGTCTACCTTCACCAACTTTTCTGTTGTCCTTCCCCCAGGGAGGAGGTTATATGTAGATCCGTATAATTGGTTCCCCACTTCCACCCCACCCTCCCTCCATCCTACCGGCATTGCCACTCTCACCACTGGTCCTGAAGGGATCATCCATCCTGGATTCCCTGAGTTTCATTTCCTCTCTGTACCAGTGTACATCCTCTGGTCTAGCCAGATTTGTAAGGTAGAATTGGGATCATGATAGTGGAGTGGGGAGGAAACATTAAGGAACCAGATGAAAGTTTTATGCTTCATCATTGCTACCTTGCACCCTGACTGGCTTGTTTCCTCTCCGCAACCCTTCTGTAAGGGATGTTCAGTTTCCTACAGATCACTCCCCTCTTTCACAATGATATGATTTTTTGTTCTTTGATGCCTGATACCTCATCCCTTCAACACCCCGTGATCACACAGGCTGGTGTGCGTCTTCCATGTGGGCTTTGTTGTTTCTGAGCTAACTGGCCTTTTGTTTACCTTAAAGCCTTTAAGACCGCAGATGCTATATCTTTTGATAGCCGGACATGATCAACATTCTTCACAATATTTGCTAATGCACCCATTTGTTTTCAGCAATCGTGTTGGGAAGGTGAGCATCATGGAATGTATATTGCTCCTCCACTCAAGTACTCCCTCAGTTCAAGAACACTTTGTTCGATTAAACTGGCATTCCATGATGTTTTTCAACATTTTAAGAGGTCTTCCATAGAAGGAATTACTGCTTCTATGAGCATTGATTGTAGATTCAAGCAAAATAAAATACTGACATCTTCAAACTTTTTTTTTTAGCTTTAGAATCCATTTTTAATGACGTATCACATAGTACATACTTACAGCATTTACAGCTATGGCACACCAATGCACGGCTACAGGGTCAAGTGTTTGGCGAAGAGAAACCGCCTAGAGAGGACAAAGGACACGACATAGCTACGTCACATGTAGTCCGTGCTGAAGTCATAGTCGTCATCTTCCCCTTATCTGAGCTGAGTCTTTGTGCTGCTCAGTCACCAACCTGTCCCCTGGCTGGAGGCTCTGTGTCCAGTGCCCCCCCTGCAGGATACACGGCTGGGCTCTTCTCTTCAGCTTCTTCATGGTTAACAACCTCTTGGTGGCAGTCAGGGTCGTCGTCCTTGTCCTCGTCCTCCTCCCCGTCCACGTTCTGTCTTGGCAGATCCTCGGGTCTGTCCTTTTCCTCCATCATCCCGTTGGTCAGACCCCAGGACTGCAAAGCGAGGCTAGTGGCCAGGCCAAATCCCCTGATGGCTTTTATGCTGTGGGCGTTGTTTCTGCGCAGCTCTTCCACATCGAAGCCCAGTTTCATAAATGCCACTGTACACTCAGCCAAGTGTGGAGGGCAGGCCCAGGACGGTGGGGGCTGGCTATGGAAGTCCAAGGCCACACCAACCACAGCAGTTTGGCAGCACTTTCCACGTGGGGGTTGCCACCTTTTGGCTGCAGCCCTTGCCTCTGTGAAAGCAAAGTGAAAACTCCAGAGGCCTAGTGTAGTCGGGGACAGTGTATTTCAGCATGACCTGTGGGGCCTCTGCATGGGCTAGGATGGCACTGGCAGCCTCCACTTGTTTTAACACCTCAATGCTTGCTGGGCTTCTCATGGCTAGAGCGGCGGCTGGGTTCATGGGAGACATGACAACTTCAAACTGTTCTTCATTTATCATGATGTGGGTCCAGTGAGAACTTTTATTTTCTTTATATTGAGTCAAAATCCATACTGAAAGCTTCAATTCTTGATCTTCCTCCGCAAATGCTTCAATTTCGCTTTACTTTAGCAAGCAATATTGTTATATTTGCCTATCATAGTTGTTAATAAGATTTCCTGCAATTGTGATGCCAAGTTCTCCTCCATATAATGCAATTCCTCTTATTATTATATAGATTGAAACTATGGTGAGAAGATAAAACCTTGATGCATACCTTTCCTGGTTTTAAACCAAGTGGTATTCCCCATTCACAACTCTTGATCCGTGTACATATTATGCATCAGTGTACTGAAGTGTTCTGGAATTCCCATTCTTCTCAAAGGTATCCATAGTTTGTTATGATTTACTCAGTCAAATGCCTTGTCACAGACACAAGTAAACATCCTTTTGGTTGTCTCTATTTTGATCAAGATCTATCTGACATCAGCAATGATATCCCTTGTTGCATGTCCTCTTATGAATACAGTCTGACCCTCTGAGAGTTCCCTGCCAATGTGCTGCTACAACTGTTGTTGGATGATCTTCAGCAAAACTATACTGCTTTGTGATATTTGTGATACTATAATAAAATGTGAGTCTTCTGTTGGGTTACCTTCTTTTTTGGAATGGGTACAAATATGGATCTCTTCTATTCAGTGGGCCAAGTAGTCATCTTTCAAATGTTCTGGCTTAGATGAGTAAGTGCTTGCAGTACTTCATCAGTTCCTTGAAACAATTGAGGTATTCCATCGATTCCTGGAGCCTCATTTTTTGGCTAATGCTTTCAGATCTACTTCAACTTCTTTTATCACCATTGGCTCTTGCTCACGTGCTACTCCTGAAATGGTAGAATATCTACTAGTACTTTTTGGTACAATGATTCTGTGAATTCCTCCATCTCTTATGATGCTTCCTTCATCATTCAATATTTGTCTATAGAGTCTTTCGAGATTGCAAATTGATGCTTGAATTTTTTTTCTTTCCATTTCAGATATGCTGAGAGAGTTCTTCCATTCTGGTTTTCTAATTTCAAGGTTTTGCACATTTAATTACAATATTTGACTTTGACTCGGAGCTGCTATCTAGAATTTTGTATTCAATCCATTGACTTCCATTTGCTTTAGCTACTCTATGATTAAGAGCAAATTTCAGTTTCTTCCGATATCCACCTTGATATTTTCTTAACTTCTTCTCTTTTTAATGACATTTTGCTTTTTTCAAATATAATGTTCTTGATATCCTCCAACAGCTCCTCAGGTCTTCTGTAATTAGTGTTTGAGTTAGTCCAGGTAGACTAGAGAAGCAAATTCATAGACACACATATGTGTATAAAAAAAAGAGGTTTATATACAAGAGCAGTTGAATATTGAGGAAACATCCCAGCAAAGTCCACCTCAAGTCTGTAAGTTCAATATTAGCCCTTATGTCCGATACCAGTCTATAAAGTCCTCTTCTGAGTCATGAAACACATGCAATGACGCCAATTGCAGGAAGGTCACAGGCCAGTGGGTGGAAGTCTTGTGGATCCAATGGTATTGTAAGCATCTCAGCCCTGGCTGGGGTCTCCATATGGCTTCTCCAGCACCCAGGGCTGTGTCAGGATAGGTCCATGTGGCTTCTCCTCAGGGATCACTTGCAGGGGTGTCAGCCTTGTCATTAGAGAGTCTCCAAGGGAGTGAGCCGAGAGAAGTGTCTGCTGTCTCCAAGGAGGAAAATACAGGATTTCCCAGAATTCTCTGGAGAAGGCCATGCCCACACAGAGGCTTGATTGGTTATATCTTAATTGACAGGCCAGACTCCACCCCTTCACTCATAATCCTCTCAAATTGACACCAAATTATGTAACTACCACAGTATTCAATGTATCAAATCTGATTATTATATAATCTTGAAATTCAGGTAAATAGACTCAAGGTCTTATTTTGGCTCTGTGGACTTGTTTTAATTTTCTTCACTTTTATCCTGAATTTACATATGAGTAATTGATGGTCTGTTTCTCAATTAGCCCTTGGCCAGGTTTCAGCTGCTGATATTGAGTTTCTCCATCATCTCTTCCCACAGATGTAACCAATTTGATTTCTGTGTATTCCA